GCAATTTTGTAAATTTACCAAAAACAACAATAATTTCAGTCATCACAACTAATACTCATTCAGAAACTTGCATTGTTTCTACTCATATTTCCTAAAAGTATTTGATGTCTTTACTATAGGATACTTATTTTCAAATAAAAATAAGAGGTGCTCACACGTAGCACATCCCGAGTATATTCCACCAAACGCTAGTTTTAGGTGTTTTGTTAAGTATTACTCTAAGAAGAAGATTCCATGATAAAACAGATATGTTAATCAAAATCAAGTCGCTTACTTGACGGCAGGACTTCATAGAATTTTTAATATGCTAAAATTCATTGAGAATCTACAAGAGGATTGGGATACAAGTTGCAGAATTTAGCAAATGTATTTGGTCACAGAGTCTATTCACGTGACACAGAAAAGAGAACAATATTTTTTAAAACATACTTTTGGAAATACCAATCTAATATAATGCTACTATGGTATAGAGGCCAAAATAGAAGACCAAAGATGGATGTGACTTGCCCAAGATAGATTAGGTAAAATCAGTGCTAAATGCCTGTGACTGAAATCCAGCTTCCTCATCTGAGTCCAAGGTCTTTCCACTTGACTTCAATGTCTCTGTTACCTTTCCTGTCACTTACTACTTCCCTTTAAGGAAAGAAAACACAAGAACTAATTCTTTGTAAAAGGTATAAAAGTTCTCTCACTGACAATTTTTTTCTTTAAATGTCGAGCAGGGTTTATGGAAAGAAGAGGCTAAGATTTTAAACCTTAAATTACAATGTGCTGAGAGGCTTTAACAACTAATAACTAATGCTATCCCTGCAGAGAAGACAATCAAATTATCCTGGATTCAACATTTCTGGTTTATATTGAAAAAGGGGAAGAAGTTAACACTTTTCTAACATATTGGGCTATATGTACCACCTTGGAAGGGATTAATAAAGCCAATGTGTGAAAATATATGAAAGAATTTAAAAATCTGTTATGCTGTTAAACTCTGACTACCACTGAATTTCAAGGCCAAGAGAATCTATTTTGTCTGAGACGACAACACTAAACCACTGGTACAATCCACAAAATCCGATGTCACTCTTACTTTACCATTTAAAAAACAAAACAAATTCTAGAGAACAATAAATTCTAAGTAGCCAAGGAAATTTTCAAAAATATAATTTTGCTAAAAAGAACATATACCATGTATTTGGGTTGACCCATTAAACATCAGAGTGTTCTGACATTATAGTCATCTTATTTAAAATACCAAGAGGCTTATTGCAAAGGTGACAGACAGAATAACTGTTTCTTAAAGTAGAATATTTGCAAAGGTCAGATACTATACTCTTAGGTGGAATTTTTAAAGTGGGAAATAAGATTGTAAGGAATCTAAAGAAATTTTGTAGTAAGTGTAATCTATTTACAGAAGATAAATGAATGTGTGATAAAATTTACTGGAAGGGAGAGAAAAGGTCTAAAGCATCCTAAAAAACTAAAAAGTGGAAAAGTGGAAAGACATAGCTCTTTCAAACATATGTGGAAGAGGAATTAGTCTTCACCTTTTTGTTTTCAAGGGACAGAGCTATGAATAAAGGGGGACATATATAGAAAAATATATTTTAACAGAATTTTAAGGAAAACATTTTAATGATACTTATTACCTAATAAATAGCTTTCGGGATGTATTATCCACCCTTAAAGGGGGATCTATGAGAGGTCAAAGACTGCTTCATATGCTTGCTTTTCTGATGTACCAAGCAAGAGTTGATGAAAGATGGCCTTTAAGATAGATATGTTAAATTCCGAGATATAAGAAGAATTTCAGGGAGAAAAAGTACCCAATATAGATGGTGTGCTTCAGGTGGTGCCCAACATTATAGCTATTTTGCTTGAGAAACTAGAGGAGTTATTGTTATTACTAACTCTTTAAAAAATGACTGTGCTCTCAGTAGAGGGCAGTTGCTAGGAGACTTCCTGAATTGTGAGTATTCAGCCATGAAAATCTAAAGAAATTAATGGAGTTTTATTTTAGACCAGTTTACTTACAGAACTCCGAGTGAATAATATATGGTGGAATTTTTCCTAAGAAGTGACAGAAGGAAGTGGTGCAAATTGCTTTAGAAAGAATAGCATATTTAGAGAAAAATATGCAGAGTGTGGTACAGCTGGTACATCATAGAATCTAAATCATTTGTACTTCCTTTGTGGGAGGAGAGTAGAAGAGGGGGAAGATACAAAGAATATGAATGTAGGGTAGTAAAGGGAAGAGGAGGTGGAAAGGAATGACAGAAAGAGAGCATTAATAAATATTTTTGGGTTGAAGCAAGAGAATTGTTTTTGTAGGGTGGCTTCAGTGATTTTGTCTTTATTCTCCTTTTCAGGGTTATTTTGCTTGCAAAGTATAAAATGAATCATTTTCTTTCATTTCCAGTTTCAACTTGGAAGTACTAATTATGTCTTCCTTACATAAGAGAGGAGAGACCTATTACTGTTGAAGGTTCTTTAAAAAAACAAAACAAAACTATGCTTTAAAACTCAAAACAGTTAAGGATTATGTCACAGCTATTTTTGAAATCATTATATCTACAATGAATGTCAACAAAATGGTAATAAAAAATAGTATAGTGCCTGGAAAATTCTTTGACAGAATTATTTGGAGCAAGTTTTTGTGTGTGTGTGTGTGTGTGTGTGTGTGTGTGTGTGTGTTTAATTTGGAAATAAAACAAACAAAAAAAAAACTAAATAGAACTTCAAGAAATAAGCACATAGCATTTACCATGATTGTACAATAGCAATAAATGAAAAAATACTAGAAGATCTGCCTACAATCAAACTCTTATGGAACCATGAGTCAAAGGTCAAATCAGTAACTATCTAAGACAGTCATTACTTGAGAATGAAATGGTCCTCCTCATTTTTCTACGTAGCACTATGTAGAATATGGTTATCACAATTTATTCTATTCCCAAGACAACATTTCAAGCAATAAAGTTTATATTCCAGAGAGAAGTTGTTCAGGTCTTGTACCCTAATAACAACCTTTCTTGTCCAGAAGATAGAACAACATCATAAGAACAAACTTTTACATCAAAAACAAACAAGCAAACAAACAAAACAAAATTCAGAATTTCTTGAGCATGAAAGTGGTAGTGTCTTCAGGTGGTAAAGCAGCCCAAAACTTTGGGCTTTGACTGAAGTCATTAATGGTATATTTTTTGCCCATCCAGTTTTCTCATGATAGAGTTCCTTCCTGAATAGTGGCTACTGCCTGGGACACAGTAGGTGGACAGCACATACTTATTAAAAAAGTAATTAATGAATGACAATAATGAATAAAGGAGGAAAGGAAAGAACTGACTGATAAATTTAAGGAAACTAATGAAAACATGTTGCACAAGACGCAGTATAGCTTGGTGGTAATGAGTGGTCCTAGCCAGATTGCCTCAATTTGAAACCCAGTTTTGTCCATTATTAAATATATGACCATGGGCAAGTCAGAAAACCTGTCTACATCTCAGTTCTTTTTTGCTTATATAAAATGTGTTGCTGTTAGAAATATGTTACATTACAAAAAAGCCCTTTATAAAAGAACATGGAACTTAGTAAATGCCAGGTCAATGTTAGCTATCAAGATTATTACAAAGATCTTACCTAACACAAAGCTTATTGAACACAAAGGTCACTGGCAACTATGAAATTAGACCACTGGGATTAAACACAGCTCTCTAAAGCTGAGGGAAGTAGGCACAATAAACATAAAATTTGGAGGTTCAACTCCAAAACTTGCACAGGTCATAAAAATTAATCTTCTGTTGAGATTGGGGGCTGATCCTCCTCAGACATTTCTCACAAAATTGTTGGAGATAATGGCTCCTTGCAGACATAGATTAGAAGTCCTGTTTTACAAGGGTAGATATGTGACTAGACAGATACACTAATCTTACTTGAGAGCTACCTAGTATTAATTTTCAATATTCGATTATTATCCTGTAGATTTTGGCATACAACAGTAAATGGACATAAGGCAGTTTTATTAACACAGTCCCAAATGCTTTGTTGCTTATAATTGCCTTAATTTTGCTTTAGGTTATCATATAACTCCATGGTTCAGAAAGACTGGCTGTGTGTCAATGTCAATCACTGCCTAGGACTCCTGAAGCATGTGAGAAGCTGGCAAATGAAATAGCTATAACCCTAAGGGGAGGAAAGGAAGAGATCCATTTACACATGTAGCAGAACTCAGATTATAAATTCTTGGAAGTCAGGTGCTATGTCTATTCTGGTTGCACAAAGGACCATGGACATATGCTTATCAGTAAGCCAGGTGTTGTTTCTGTTGTTATGCAAACCCCACCTCTCCAGCAGTCTATAAACAGCAGTTGCTCTCCCTAATAGGAGACTCATTATATTGGAAGAACAACAGATAATCTCTATGCCATGTGTATCTAAGAAAATTAATGAAAATTTAGATTTGTTTTGAAAATGTCAACAAAATAGACACATTGTACATATACTTTTGAGATCTCTTACTCATAAATCTGCTGTCTTTTCTTTTCAATTTTTGTCCAAGGTCTAAATTGTGGAGCCCTCACAAATTCATATGCTGAAGCTCTAACCCCCACATGACTATTTGAGGATAGGTTCTATAGGAGATAATTAAGGTTAAATGAGTTAAAGATGGTGCCGTAATCCAATAGGACTGGGCTTTATAAGAGGTGGCCTTATAAGAAGAGAAAGAGAGAGAGAACTCTCTGCACAAATACCTAGGGAAGGCCATGTGAGGACACAGTGAGAAGGTGGCCACCTGCAGGTCAGGAAGAGAGCCCTCACCAAAAACCTAATTGGTTGGAACCTTGGACTATGTAGTCTCCAGAATTGTGAGAAAATAAATTTCTGCCGTTTTAAGTCACCCACCCTGTGGTATTTTGTGATGGCAGCCTGAACAGACAACGACAGTCTTACACTGGAAAACAAGAGCTTTATAAATATACACACAGTTTTGCTGGAGTCACACTCACCATTAGTAGTCTATCTCCTACTTGCAACCTTCCATCTTTTTGTGCAGCTCCTCCATCTATGATTTTAGTTACATAAATGCTGTTGTCTCCAGGAATGTGTTGGTTCCCCACACCTCCTGCAATACTGAAGCCTAAACCTATAAGAAAGGAACAGAAAATGGAAAGCCTTGTTTTGTTGTTGTAGTTGTTTTTAGAAAATGCAGTTAGCCACATTTTAACAGTTTTTAAAAATGAATCTTCAACTTATTGTAACAGTAATAAATAACACTAAAAATTGTATTTCAATCTAGTTTGTTATTTAAACATTTGAAGGGTTGTTGATTAATGCAAATGAGGCAGATTTTGAAGTCAACCCCATGTAAGTAGTTTTGTTCTATTTCCAGACTGTATGCCTAACCGCTTTCCTCAACTATCCTGTTTATAGGGGTAACTGGTTAGAGCAGGGATCAGGTGAAGGATGTGGAGGAGTCCTAGGTGAGCCAGGAAAAAGACAAATTTAGTCCTGCTCATTGTTGGTCTATGGGCTCATATTCATTGCTGTTGTTACTCTAGCATAGAGAACAGAAGTACTACCAATCATTTGGGCAGAGACCTGGATACTCTTGATATTTCAAGATGAAAAATAGAATTGTTCAAAAATTGCACAAATTCTGAGGCAAGAGCCATGAATAAGTTACACTGTTTAAATATATGTGATAATTTCAGAGAGAAGATAAGAAAAAGAAGCTAGATGCTTGCCTTTCATGTTTTCTTCTCTTGCCACCTTGTCATATTTTATATTTTCTAGCATTTATTGTTATTAACTGATTGATTATGAGGCTAGTCACACAAAAAAGTGAATTATTCCAGTATACAGTCTAAAAAATAAAAAAACTTCTTTAAAAATATTCTATTAGAAAATAAAGAATAAAAAGAACGTTAAAAAATTGATTAATAAATAAATTAATTTATTTTTTGAGACAGTCTTGCTCTGTTGCCCAGGCTGGAGTGCAGTGGTATGATCTCGGCTCACTGCAACCTCTGCCTCCCAGCTTCAAGTGGTTCTCCTGCCTCAGCCTCCTTAGTAGCTGGGATTACAGGCATATGCCACCATGTCTGACTACTTTTTAAAATTTTTAGTAGAGACTGAAAATGTTGGCCAGGCTGGTCTTGAACCCCTGACCTCAGGTGATCCACCTACCTCGGCCTCCCAAAGTGCTGGGATTACAGGCATGAGCCACCATGTCCGGCCAAAAACTTTAAAATGTATACTTAGACTATTATTTTTATAACATGGCAGAATATCAAATCATTTTAAACATGGTGATTGTCTCTTTTAACAGATGATTTTCACTGTACTATGGCTTATACAATTTTAACTTATATTAAACTATGAAGCAATAACAAGAATAGAGGACAGTCACGCACTGCATAACAACGTTTTGATCAGTGATAGATTACACATATGATGATGGGCCCAAAAGATTATAATGGAGCTGAGAAATGGCTATTGCCAAGTGACATCATAGTCATTGTAACATCATAGCATATTGATTACTCACGTGTTTGTGGTGATGTGGTGTAAAGGAACCTACTGCACTTCTAGTCATATATATAAAAGTATAGCATATACAATTGTAAAGAATAAATAATACTTGATAATGATAATAAATAACTATGTTCTTGGTTTATGTATTTACTACATTATGCTTTTTGTTGTTATATTTGAGTGTACCCCTCTCCTTATTAAAAAATATTAATTATAGAAAAGCTTCAAGCAGCTCTTTCAGGAGGTATCCTAGAAGAAGGCATTATTATTACAGGAGATGACAGATCCATGCTGTAACATTTTGCATGGTATTGCCCCTGAACATCTTCCAGTTGGACAAGATGTGAAGGTAGAAGACAATGATATTGATGATCCTGACCCTGGGTAGACCTAGGCTAATGTATGTGTGTGTGTCTTCATTTTTAACAAAAAGTTTAACGTGTAAAAAAAAAAAAAATGAAAAGCTTATAGAATAAGAATAGAAAAAAGACAATACTTTGTATAGCTGTACAATATGTTTGTTTTAAGCTACGTGTTATTACAAAAGAGTCAAAAAGTTAAAAAATAAAAAGTTCATAAGGTAAAAAAGTTATGGTAAGCTAAGGTTAATTTATTATTGAAGCTTTTTAAAAATAAATGTAGTCTAGCCTAAGTGTACAGCGTTCTTCAAGTCTACAGTAGTGTACAACAATGTACTAGGACTCCACATTCACTCATTACTCATTCACTGATTTACCCAGAGCAATGTCCAGTCCTATAGGTTCCACTCATGGTAAATGCTCTGTACAGGTGTACCATTGTTTACCTTTTATTTTTTACTGCACTTTTTCTATGTTTAGATATGTTAAGTTACATAAATAGTTATCATTGTTTTGCAATTGCCTACGGTACTCAGTACAGTAACATGGTACACAGGTTTGTATCCTAGGAACAACAGGCTATACTATAGTCTAGGCTTGTAGTAGTCTGTTTGTTTCAGTTTGCATAAGTACGCTCTCTTATGTTCCCAGAACAATGATGATGTTATCTAATGATGTATTTCTCAGAATGGATGCCTATTGTTAAAGGACACATGAATGTATTTTAAAAAATTATTATGAGATCATTTTCAAGGAATAATAGACTCTGTAAAGGTATGAGATTTAAAAAAATTTTTTTTTGAGATGGAGTCTTACTCTGTCACCCAGGCTGGAGTGCAGTGGCGCAATCTCGGCTCACTGCAAGCTCCGCCTCCAGGGTTCACGCCATTCTCCTGCCTCAGCCTCCCCAGCAACTGGGACAACAGGCGAACGCCACCACACCTGGCTACTTTTTTTTGGTATTTTTAGTAGAGACGGGGTTTCACTGTGTTAGCCAGGATGGTCTCTATCTCCTGACCTCATGATCCGCTCGCCTCCGCCTCCCAAAGTGCTGGGATTACAGGCGTGAGCCACCGCGCCGGCCAGGTATAAGGATTTTAAAAATCCCTTTCAGAATATGTTTGAATGCTCATTCAGTACCATACTTGCAGCATACATTTTCATTGCATTTTATAATCATAAGATAATTAACATGCAAATTACTCAAGAAGATAGATATTGATCAAAGGCCTTTTGACTAAAGGCATAATTTCTATAGCTTACTTGGCTTAAGACTTTTTTTAAAAAACCACACACCTAGTAAAATAATAAAGCTATCATTAACATATTTGACATTTTATAAAACAATAATAAAAAATACTTAAAAATATTAACTCTACTTCACTATACTTTTATTGAATAAATATTGGGTAAAGTTATATGCTCTTAAGATAGCAAAAATAGTTAATTGGAAAATGATGGCATAGTAAATTATAAAGCAACATCTCTGGAATTATATTTGAAATGCAAGGATTGTTAAATTAACCATAATAGTTGTTAAAAATAAATGGAAAATTGATTTAAATTGATAGGGCAATTAAAGCAAGTGTTATCTAATTTCCTTGTGATGTGGGTAATTATTTTCATTGATGCTTTGCCACCCCATGGAACCATGAATATATTTGTTTGCCTCAGATTTACAATCTGTTTATTAAGCAAATGATGACCAAAGAGTAAAATACCCCATATTGGCTTTTCCTATAAAATTTAAAATACGTATCAGCTCATGTTTCCCAAAACTGTTACTTTATTATGTATGAATATAGGGAAGTTTAAAAAAATATATTTACAAAAGTTTCTTAGCCACATTCTAAGATCAATCTACGACATTTATAAAAGTAGAGAGGTTATTCCAAACTCTGAAAAGAGAAGGTTAAAACAAATTCAGAGACTCCAATTTACATCCATGATGCCAGCAGTAAAGGCCACGGTCTTAGCTACAGAAGAGCTATAGAAATAAATTAGCACCATAAAGACGGTTAAGTCCAACAAAGACAGCAAGTATGTAGTTGACATTTGAAGTTGAAGACTGCACAAAGACAATGAAATCACTATGGATACTATAGATAGGTAGGTAGGTAGATAGATAGACAGACAGACAGATAAAAATCGAGTAACATTTTTTCTTCAGATTAGGTTTAGGTACTTCTTTTTAACTAGTTACTCTGTTCAAGGTGAAGCAAGGTATTTTTAGCAAATGTCCCTCTCAGAGCCACAGCATGTTTCTGAATGTACACAACTAGTAATTTTTCCAATTTCCCTTACTTCGATGTAACATGCACGTGTTTAAAAACAATTAAAATGTATTTAACAGTTAACCATATTCTAAATATTCAAGATGATAAATAAATCTGTAGTTTATGTCTACATTGAGAATATATGTTTATTTACAGGTGGAAATATCCATCTGTGCTATAAGATTGTGTCTATCCTCATTCATTTATTCATTCACACATCCATTCTTTCAATAAGCATCTCCTGAGTACATACTGCTCACTGTATTACCAGCTGCTAAAGAGCATGGCCAAAGTAAATGTAAAGAATTTTTTTCCATTTTTAATTTTTAGTTGTTATGGATACGTAATATATGTAAATAAGGTACACATGATAATTTGATACAAGTATACAGTGTGTAATGATCAAATCAGGATAATTGGGATATCCATCACCTTAAACATTTATTATTTCTTAGAGTTAGGAACATTTTAATTCTGCTCTTAGTTATTTTGAAATATATAATACATTATTACTAACTGCAGCCACTCTATTGAACTACTGAACACTAGAAAGATCTATTTCTTTTACCTAACTGTATGTTTTTTATCCATTGACCAGAAACACTATAATAATAGTGACTCAAAAGTGAGTTCATATGGGTGAGTGTAGTTGAAACATGTCTGAAGCAACGTTCTAAGCCCGGATAATGCAAGCAATTTTTGGATAGCTATTCTATGAAGACAAATGTGGGCTAGGACCACTGAGCAATAAGACCAAACACAAATTACCTGGGTGTTTCTTGCATAGACTCTGTTAAAGCAGGGGCAGGCTGTCTACCTTATAAGACCTAGACAGGCTAAGGCATGCCATGACTAATGCCCCTGTCCTCCATCCCTGTTACTAATTTCACATCTCTTCCCTTCAGTAGCTATTTTTTCCCTCCTTCATTCCACTCAAAACATACTTACATCATTGATATTTCTTTCTTTATTTT